CGCAAGTCCCCCTCCCTCCTCTCATTTCCCCTCCTCCGTCAAAAATGACCTAAATTTTGAGGTTATGTTCGTTTCAAGACTCTGAATATAGCCGCAAGTTCCCCCTCCCTCCTCTCATTTCCCCTCCTCCGCCAAAAATTGACCTAAATTTTGAGGTTATGTTTGTTTTAAGAACCTAATAAAGCAGTAAGTCCTTCCCCCTTCCCTCATCTCTCTCTGTATTTCCCGCCAAAAATAGGGGGGTTGGCGCGCGAAGCGCGCAGGGGGGCGTAGCCCCTCTAGTATATATATATATATATACTAGAAGGGGCTACGCCCCCCTATTTTTGGCGGGAAATACAGAGAGAGATGAGGGAAGGGGGAAGAGGGGGGACTTGCGGCTATATTCAGAGCCTTGAAATGAACATAACCTCAAAATTTATGTCATTTCTGGCGGGGGAGGGTAGGGGACTTGCGGCTATATTCAGAGTCTTGAAACGAACATAACCTCAAAATTTAGGTCATTTTTGATGGAGGAGGGGAAATGAGAGGAGGGAGGGGGACTTGCGGCTATATTCAGAGCCTTGAAACGAACATAACCTCAAAATTTAGGTCATTTCTTGTGGGGGAGGGGAGGGGACTTGCGGCTATATTCAGAGTCTTGAAACGAATATAACCTCAAAATTTAGGTCATTTTTGATGGAGGAGGGGAAATGAGAGGAGGGAGGGGGACTTGCGGCTATATTCAGAGCCTTGAAACGAACATAACCTCAAAATTTAGGTCATTTCTTGTGGGGGAGGGGAGGGGACTTGCGGCTATATTCAGAGTCTTGAAACGAACATAACCTCAAAATTTAGGTCATTTTTGATGGAGGAGGGGAAATGAGAGGAGGGGGGGGACTTGCGGCTATATTCAGAGCCTTGAAACGAACATAACCTCAAAATTTAGGTCATTTCTGGTGGGGGAGGGGAGGGGACTTGCGGCTATATTCAGAGTCTTGAAACGAACATAACCTCAAAATTTAGGTCATTTTTGACGGAGGAGGGGAAATGAGAGGAGGGAGGGGGACTTGCGGCTAAATTCAGAGCCTTGAATCAAACATAACCTCAAAATTTAGGAGGGGGGACTCCCCCCTCCTAGGTCAAGAATTTTTGAAACAGCGGTATTTAAATACTTAAAAACTATTTTTGTTGTTCATTTTAGAATTTAGATATTCTTTTAGTTTTTGATATTTCAATATGTCAAAAACTAGGGAGTATTTAGACAGGTGTTTCAATCCATTACAAATATTAAATCATCGTGGAAAAGGTTTACGTCCAATTTAAAAAAAAATTCGTGAAAGGTTTCCTGATGCTCATGTCAATTCGAAAATATGTGCTAATTGTAGGCTTCAACTTGGAAAGCAAAATAATGCCTTTCATTCGAAACAATTTGATCCTAACAATATCAACTCACATAAAACCGTTGATACTGATATGATCAATAACAGTATCAGTGATTCAGAAACAGATGGTATTCCATTTGTTAAATCTTTTATACTTGAAGAGTTAGAAGATTTATTTTGTGGTTTGAAGGACAAATTCTTAAGCATGCCTGCAAATGATCCTATAAGATTCACGATTCTTACCGTAGCTCCATTATCATGGAGTATTCGCAAAATAGCTACAGAATTTGGAACCTCACGACGATCAGCTAAAAAAAGCCAGAACTTTAAGATAGAATATTAAAGTTTTAGCTTCAACGACTTCTAAGGCTGGAAAGAGGTTACCTGAAGATACTGTGAATAAAGTTATCGAATTTTATAACAGCGACCTCTACAGTAGAGTGATGTCTGGTAAAGAAGATACTGTATCAGTAAAAATTGATGGAAAAAGATCTGCACTTCAAAAACGCTTGTTACTAGCAGATTTAAAAGAGTTGCATCAGGAATTTAAAAAAATAAATTCTAATAACCCAGTTAGTTTTAGTGCATTTTTTAAGCTTTGGCCAAAACATTGTGTTTTCGCTGGAGGTTCCGGTACACATTCTGTATGTGTATGCGTAATTCACGAAAATTGTAAATTAATGCTTGATGCGCTAAACATTAAAGAGATTACAAAAACAATGAATCAACCAATTGAAAATTATAAAGATTGTCTGCGACTCATTACATGTAAGGATCCAACTGCATTATTTCTTTTAGCTAACTGCAAAGATTGCCCTAGCATTGAAGACTTCTGAGAAATGATGATAAATATTTTAAACGAAGCATGCATCGAGAGTGTTTTATGCAGTTATGAATCCGTGTACAGTATCTATACTCAAGCCAAGTACAACATCCATTTCTCATTTTAGTACGGCATCTATCACATAGTGACGCTGCTGCTGCTCTCAACTTGGTGTACAGATGCTGAACTTCTCTATTTCAGATTCCGTGCTTTTCTTCTCTCAGTGTACGTAATACAAAATGCTTCTCAAGCATTTCATTATAATAATGATCAATGCATTTTAATGCCAGTTGTTTATTACTATAATGATGGTAAAGAAATAAAACATAAAAGTCTTGTGTTTTTGTCTGACTGTTTAAAACATGATACAACAGCTGTTTATGTTGTTCAAAGACAATTGTTAAAAGAAATAAAAAAGAATACGAAAGTGAGTCGAGTTATTTATTACTCAGATGGTGCAAAACAGCATATTAAAATTCGGTACCAAGTGTCTAATTTATTAAAGCATGAAGAGGATTTTGGAATTCCAGCAGACTGGTATTTTCATGCAACGGCACATGGCAAAAATTCTTACGGTGGCATAGGGGCCATTTTAAAACGCGAAGCTACCAGAGCAAGCTTACAAGCATCTGGTACTCAGTCAATTACAAATTCGACAAGTCTTTTTAATTGAGCAAAACAACATTTCTCTTAACTTGAGGTTATGTATTTTAGTAAGGAAATGCATAGAAAAGCACCTCAAAAAACGCTTTTCTGATGCCAAAGCAGTTCCAAGCATTTCGACGCAACATGCTTTTATTGCACTTCTATCGAAAAAATTACTATTAAAAACACACTCTTTTGCTGAAGATGGTATAATTTTTTCATAAACTTAAAATATGAAACAAGTATTTTTATTTCAATTTTTAGCTTTTTAAAGTCATCCTTCAAAACTAATAATTAAAATTTATAAGCTAAAAATTTAGGCCAAATTAGATCTGCCATTATAAATTTTAAAAAACTGATATTAAATTCGTAACCAGCGACTTCGAAAACCACCGAGTAGTCATTATCACAAGACTAGCTCAATTTTTAATTTTATCCGCCATATTTAATCCGCCATTTTGAATTTTTGAATTTTGAAAGGAGATACGTTATCAGTTTGTAAGTAAACTATGTTGTCGTTATTTTTATCGTCATATGTGAAGCTTTAAACAATAATATAGATCATATTAGTGGATTTTTTGTGTTTTTTATGTCGTTTAGGCGCCATATTTAAGTCGCCATTTTGAATTTCAAAAAGCGCCCAACGGGATTAAAAAGTAGAAATTCCAAGCTAATTTTTCCAATATGCTAAATTTTTTTTAAATTAAACCAATTATGGAGAGATGGGGTGGTCCTGTTGACAAAGAACGTCCCATATATACCTACCTATATTACAAAAAGATATCGCCGCCAACGCCGCCGACGCCGCTGTTCCAAGACTCTGAATATAGCCGCAAGTCAAGAGAAGGGGGATAGGAGAGAAGGGAGGGAGGACTTACGGCTATATTCAGAGTCTTGAAACGATCTTAACCTTCAAATTTGGGGTGGAGGGAAGAGAGGAGGGGGGATGGGGGTTGGCGCGCGAAGCGCGCAGGGGGCGTAGCCCCCTAGTATATATATATAGTCAAGAGAAGGGGGTAGAAGAGAAGGGAGGGGGGACTTGCGGCTATATTCAGAGTCTTGAAACGATCTTAACCTGTAAATTTAGGGTGGGGGGAGGGAAAGAGAGGAGGGGGATGGGGGTTGGCGCGCGAAGCCGCTGCCGCCGCTGTTCCAAGACTCTGAATATAGCCGCAAGTCAAGAGAAGGGGGGGGGACTTGCGGCTATATTCAGAGTCTTGAAACGATCTTAACCTTTAAATTTAGGGTGAGGGAGGGGAAGAGAGGAGGGGGATGGGTGTTGGCGCGCGAAGCGCGCAGGGGGCATAGCCCCCTAGTATATATATATATATATATATTTACGCCATGCAGAAAATGTCGCATTCAAAAGTATTGAAATATTGAAAATGTTGTGAAGATATTCGGAAATCCTTGTGTCAGATTTTAGGTATTAATGACTGCATTATGCATATAAAATTTCAGGCCAATCAGTCAAAATATGTTTCTGAGATAATTTGTACACAATATGTACATTTACCTACACAATACCACGCATAGAGAGTGAAAAATTAATTATTTACTGCAAGGATTATTAACAAAGAATAATAAACAAAAAGAAAATATTACATTTTCCTAAACTTTCAAAAGTACAAATTAAAGTAAGAAATGGATAATAATCTAAAAATATGAGTAAGGCTTATTTCGCTCAACGCGGATAAATTCATACGCCAATTTATTTGCTTCAAATTATCTTTAAAATAAATTTTCATACTTCTATTAACAAATTGAACATTTATATTTGGTAACTTCCCCCCACAGCACCGAAACATTCCTGAAAATTTAGTGAATATTTACTTGCAAAATTTAGAATATTTAATTGCAATGTTTATTGAAAGTTATGTAAAGATTTAAATATTAAGGAAAGTTTGACTAATTATAATACCTAGCTACTTTTTTATAAACCTCCAATTTGATTAATTTTTTTTAGAAGCATTAAATGAAAAAAATTGTTACAACTAATACGAGATACAAAATTAAGCATACAAAATTTCAGGCCAATCCGTCAAAACGTTTTTGAGATAATTTGTACACAATTTTGTGAAATACATACACCCCTACATCTAGACATTTGCTCAGAACTTCAAAAATATTGATTCTAGATGAGAATGAGTCCATAAAACCTTCTTTTGAAAAATTAAAAATCGTCACGAATGCAAAGCTTCCTCATGAGGAAGCAAAATGGTGTCCTATTGGGCGTGAAATGCGACAAATATAAAATAATACTAAAATTTACTTTTATATAAGTTTTATTTACTTGGAAGTAATTCTGACTCAATAAAAAAATCTACATAGTTATTTCTTTGAGAATTACAATTTAGAGATTTAGAAATGAATAATTACAATGTAACGTAATTAAATTACTTTCTCATTTCCATATGCTAAGATTTGTGGCTGCAAATATTTTTCTACCAGTAACAATGTAAGAAAGACTATTCAAAGATCCAAATCTTTATATAATACAACAGAAGTTCTATTTTATTCTCGTACAGACATCAGTACAGTAAAATATGACATTGACGTTTGAAGAACCTTAAATGAATTTTATAAAAATTAAAAACAAATGTAATGAAAGCACTCTGTCAATTATTTTTTCTGAACTTCTAAAATAAGTGTATGGATTTTAAATTTTATCATAATTTTTAATATATTAAGGGGTTGCATGGATCTGCAAGGCCAAAAAACGTACACATTAAAAAATTGTTGTAAAATTGTTGTACAAACATTTTTAGGTTATTTGACGGCCGGGCAAAAAGGCCATTCATTTGTTCTACCGTTTGAAAATGTCGTCTATTTGTACCCATGAGCAGAAAAAGAAAAGAATCTTTCCTTCAAAATGCTCCATCACGTCAGGATTTTTAGTAAACGAAGTCTAAAGGGTCAAAAATGGATATTTCAGCCATTTTTCACAATTTGTCTTGAATAAATTTTTTTTTAATCTTCGATAAAAGGATCTTAAAGTACTACTCTTCAACCTTGAAAGACATTTTTTAAAATTATTTTATGATTTTTTAAAAAAAGTTATGAAATTTTGAATTTTTGGTTATGCTAACATTCACTTAGGCCATATATGTGATCGGGTCTGAGAAAACGGTGCTATCGACCAAAATGAACTTTTCGAGAAAAACGCGTTTAAAGTTTTACTACTAATTAAAATAGATTTCTTGAAACATTTTATATTTCAAAGGACCTGGATAAGTGTTCCTTATGTATTTTTTATGCTGAACACGATTTCTATGGTTAAATAATTTTCTGAACATCAGTGTTATTGTTATAAACAATTTGTTTTGCAAAATTCAAAATATCAGACGACTATTTAAAGTTTAACAAAACAGAAAGTGAAAGTCCATGTGGATATACAAATAATTTTTGTCTATTTGATTATATTAAGATTTATAATGAAATAAAAAACAATTTTGAAGAAAATAAAATAATTTTTTAATTATAAAAAAAATTTCTTTTTTATTTTATTATACATCTAAATATGATATTATTTATTTGAGAATTTTCAGATATGCCCAAATTAATAAGCGCGTATATCGTATACCAAACGCCAAAAACACTCATTGCTGTTCGCAGTCAAAGTCAAGTCAACGTGTTAACTCTTTTTATAATAAAATAGTTTAAATAACTAGTATTAACAGAAAACGAAGAGTAGAGATAAAACAAAGGTTGAGATTAAAAAAGCATCGAGAAGTAAAGAAGTACGTATATGAATTGCAAGTATGCAATTCTTTTAGAATAAATATATAATACTATAACATAAAAGAATAAATCTGGGGATAAGAGAAAATAACAGGGTTTATTAAAAAATAATTCACAAATTTTTAAAAATGAACACTTTTCAACTTCAAGTGATAATGGTAAGTTTAAAATGCACCTTTATAAGATTATTATATTATCGTAAACAAAATGTTAACAGTAAAAATATAATAAACATTTTTTTCGAATCGTCGGAAATTTTTGAAGATTCCTTTTCTGCAAATTTACTTTCTACAAGGGAATCAGAAGGTAATTTTTGAACGAATGTATTTTTAGGTTAGGTCAGCAAATGCTTTCTTTCTTTTTGGTTTTTTTAATTAAATTAAGAAGTTAATAATGTTCTTTTTATTGAATTTAGTCAATGCCAACCAAAAGCAAGGCTGTTCTACTGACAATGAGAATACATCCAATTTTTAGAATTTAAATAATTTGAACTAAACAGTTTTTGACGCAACTTCACATCCTGATGCTTCTTTAAACTCCAGTAAATCTTCAGATTTAGGTAAATATCGTGGATTACTACCCAGTGGGAAAAAAACCATGATCATTCTAAAAACGTTTTTAGAACGATTCGTGCCTGCCAAATAATGTTCTGGAACATTATTTAAAAATCCATGTTCTTAAAATGTTCCAGAACATTACTTGGAGAACATGAAACGTTCTAAACATCCTTAAAATGTTTTTAAAACAAACATGGTTTTTTGCCCACTGGGTATATTGATACTTTACTTTTTATTTGATGAAAAATATTAACCTGTTAAATGATTAATAAATTATTAGTAATTAAAACTTTAAATGACAATATGAATTACTGCCCTAATAAGGCATAGGGGAACCCAATTTTTGCCCCTGTGTGGTCACAAACGACAATTCTACACAGGAACCTATGCTCATGCGCTTCACTTACCATAGATTTCAGCTAAAATAATACGAAAAAAATTTCTTTCTAATGTGTATGTTTTATGACCTTGGAGATCCATGTAACCCCTTAATGAAATTCATATTACACAGTTTGTATTTTTATAACAACTCTATTATACACAAAATAAAACTGAGAATTACTAATTGTTATTAACTTACGAACAGACAATTTTATTTTGGTACAAAAAGATATAATTTCTATATTTTATTTTTAAATACATCATACCTTTGTAAAAAATTGAAGTGAAAGTATGAATATTTTGCCAATAATAAATGTGGTTGGTTGAGATCCTCTTCTCATTATAATGAGTAACAGATTCTTTGTTTCGGTTGACAGATAGAACCAATCTGCATTATATCTAATAAATTCATTCTTTAATTTGAATAATTTTGCCCGTTGCAGCACAGAAATATAAATAATCGTTATTTCTAAGATATTTAAAGATCATAATATTAAAGAATTTTTTTGAAATTTCAAAATTTTTTGATATACTTAAGGATTTACAAGTAATAAGTTTGTGAAAAAGGGCACCTTATTATGTTTGGCTTTAACTAGAAGCGATAATTGTATATAATTCAAGAAGCTAACCTAAAGGGGGAACTCAATCTGAAGGGAACTAATATCTCTCCTGTCAATAAAGTTCTATTATACTTCTTTGGTGCTCCTCGCAAAATAAAATAAAATTTTTGTTCTTAAATAAAATCACACATTTAAAGCTAAACTAATAAATATAATCAAGGTCATATGATTGTTATGATTTCAAATGTAAATATTTTCCGCAGGGTTTTTTTTTTAGATAATACTAAATAATGTTCTCAAACATTTTAAGAACATGAAGAGATTGTACAAAAGAGTACGTCTTTCAACCGCCCAAATGTTACACTTTGCAATATAAAATATTTAACCTATGAAAAAATCTTTTTATCAAATGTAGTAAATTTAATGATTTCTAAAATTCTTCCTCAGAACTTTTGCATACAAGTTGTATTGTACAAAATATTTGCAAAAGTGAAGCATTTGTCAATAGATACTTTTAACATTATCTATACTCTCATGAGTTCACTTTCCCTTGCCAGTTAGTTAATTTTGAATTTTCCTTCAACCGACTAAAGGCCTTTGTATACCTCACCGATTCCCAGTAAGCCTCCCAGATAACAAACGTGTCTGGCACGTTACAGGCAGAAAGGGCCGCGGACCGTATCCCTGCTGTAACGAACCTTTTGTGCCACCTACTTTATGGCAAGACCAACTGTGCCAGCAATGTGCTTGCAATGTAATACTGTCACTAATAAAATAAAACAATTTATAAAATATATTAATTTTTATTGATATTTTATTTTTTTGTAGTGATAAGCAAAACAAGTTTGAAATAATTTTTTTATGGTTTAAATTAAATTCGGATAAAATACACAATGTACAGTAAAAATTCTTTTAGAATAACCCTGCCGGATTCGATTTACCTAAAATCGACCCAGCTGGGTCGAATCTAAGTCGAATCTAAGTCGAATTTAGGTAATTATCAAAAAAAAGCTTTAAATTGATGAAAATTTATAAAAATTAGTATTGTGAGGTTAAATGAACATTCATAGAGTTAATTTTTGTAAGAATTTTAATTATTAACGTGATAAATAATAAATAATTACTTGATATGTGCAAGTGGTAACTGTAGATTTTAACTCGTTGTCAGTTTTCATAATATTTTCAGAAATTAGTGTAAAATGTGTGAAAAAATAATTTATATTTAATAGAAATTGCAAATTTTATTAAATTATTTTATTATTTAACAATCACATTTCATAATAATTGCAATTTAATTAAAAAATAACAGTTTTCTTAAAAGTGACAAGAACTCTATTATACCGACCACACACGGAACAGCGGAACGCGCGCCAAGATTTGAAAAGAGTTACAAATTTTAAACATTCATTAAATAGAAAATATGCAATTTTTTTCTTTATTTATAAAAAAAACTTTAGAATTTTGTTAAAATAATAAAAATTAAGCTGATATATTTTTCTTAAATTTTTACTTATAACTTTTTAAAAAATTCTTAAATAAAAGATCAAAAAATTTAGTTAAATTTGTATTTTGCCATCATAATTTTTTAACAAAAATATAATTTTTTAGACATAAAAATAAGAAAAATTTACATTAAAACTTATTTAACAATTACATTTTTTTAACAAAATTCTTTTTTTTTTTAAAAAAAAAGTTGCAGATTTTTTATTTCATATTCACAATTCTTTAATGAAATTGTTTTTTAATACAAGTTAAAAAAAAATTAATCATTTATTTATACTAATGCTAATAATCACTAATTTTAAGTAATAGGATAGCTGGAAATTTGTGCTCCCTGCATGCTGCTGCCATCTAACGGCGTCTGCAACTAATATAGGGCGATAGTTAAAAGTAAAGAAATACTGATTATTAGTATTAATATAAGTAAATTGGTATAAATAAATGATTAATTCGGCATTTCTGAGAAAATTTTTATAAAATGATTATCTTTTATGGTTAATCAAATATATTTAATTAATGAAATTAAGATAATAATGAAATAGTTGTAATTAACAATTTGAATTTTCCCGCCAGAAGATCATGTGCATTCATATTCGCGCACTTTTACCGTGTGTGGTCGGTATAATAGAGTTCTTGTCACTTTTAAGAAAACTGTTATTTTTTAATTAAATTGCAATTATTATGAAATGTGATTGTTAAATAATAAAATAATTTAATAAAATTTGCAATTTCTATTAAATATAAATTATTTTTTCACACATTTTACACTAATTTCTGAAAATATTATGAAAACTGACAACGAGTTAAAATCTACAGTTACCACTTGCACATATCAAGTAATTATTTATTATTTATCACGTTAATAATTAAAATTCTTACAAAAAATAACTCTATGAATGTTCATTTAACCTCACAATACTAATTTTTATAAATTTTCATCAATTTAAAGCTTTTTTTTGATAATTACCTAAATTCGACTTAGATTCGACTTAGATTCGACCCAGCTGGGTCGATTTTAGGTAAATCGAATCCGCCAGGGAAATATATAATAATATAACATAAAAGAATAAATCTGGGAATAAGATAAAATAACAGGGTTTATTAAAAAATAATTCACAAATTTTTAAAAATGAATACTTTTTAAAATAACTAACAAATCATTAATAAAAAATTTAAAAAATAAAGTAAATTATCAAAACGATAAGAGCAATATAAAACAACAACATTTTTAATAAAATTAGCAGTTTAATAAGTATAAAAATCCTTATAACTTAAATATTGTAAAACACACTATAGAAATGTTATGAAGAGAAAATTCTTAAATTATAAGAAAGATAAAAAGATTATTCATAAAATGAAGGAGTTTAAAAAGTGTAAGAACAAAGCTTTAAATAACGAAAAAAGCTTAATATATTTAAAAATGCCCAGAACAAAAACTAAACAGCTTTAAATTTTAAAAAAAATTATGAAATGTTAAAAATCGTATAAGATAGAATGTTGTAAAAAAATAGAAGAATTTATAAACGAATATAAAAGGAATCAGAAAATTAGAAAAAAAATTGAAATGATTTACCGACGTCTCGTTATAGGGGGATTACAGTGTATTAATTTTAAGCCAATATCAAATGTCAAAATAAAGTAATTTAAGGATACAACGTTAGTTTGACACAATACATACATTTAAATTAATTTAAATTTTAATGTATCATTCATACTTTAAAAATAACCATTAATTAAAATTGTAATATAGTCTTCAAACCACTGTCATAAAAGATGTTTTCTATTTGTTTTCCTTAATAACGTGTTTTCTATCTGCACTCGCGAAAAACGTGTTTTCATTTAGGGGCCATCGATATAATTTACATAAATAATTTTAGAATTTCTTTTGTAACTTGTTTGCTACTTAAGTTTGATGAATTCGTAAATATAATTAATCATTAGTGAAAAATTTATTATTTTAATGAATATAATATATATTGCATTTAACAATCATGCGATTATACGAATATTATTAATAACACAAAAAATAATGATAGAATATCTTGAAAATTATAACAATCTATATAATAATATTCAAAATGTTTGATCTATTGAAAATAAATAATAATTAATTCTAAGAAGGATATTTGAATAAATGAAATTTTGAAAAACAATAATTTTAAATAAAAGTATTTTATAGTTCATTTTTAGGACAGAATTCTTGTAAATAAAAGCAAGTGCGTTGATAGATCAGTTGGTTAGGCATTAGGTTTAATTTGCGTTAGGTCGCGGGTTCGATTTCCTTTGCGTGCATGAGATAATTTAACTTTAAGATAAGTATTGTAAATAATAATACTAAATTAAATATATGCATTTCCGTGACTAAATTCCGAAAACAGCTAATTTTCTACTAGTAAAATATTTTTGAACTCTATTTGTTTAATAGCTATTTAATCAATGAGATGATTAATTATCTGATAAAAAAGTTACCAGTGCACATTTTTAAAATGTTAATCACGTGTAATTTGTTTACCGAAATTGTTTAAACAATCATTAAACATATCTACATAGACGCAGTTTCAATTTCTATTTTAGTAAAAAAAAACTTATTCTGCACTTTAATGGATCGGACGCCGGGCGGGCGATATCGCCAGCAATAGCGTGTACATTGCGCTGCTTATATGCCGGCACGTTGGTTCGATCAATCGGAATACGGTCCGGCACACAGCTTGCTATTGTGCAGGCATTTTGTTATCTGGGCCTGCGACGTGTACCATTGGAGTAAAAGAGACAGAACTATCTTTTGTGTCTTTTACTCCAATGGTACACGACAGAAGTACACTCGGAATCGGTGAGGTATGCAAGCGCCTTAAGAATAAAAGCTACATATTTTATGTAAGTGTTGTATCCTTAAGTGTAGATCATCTATATTTGTCAATATAATATGGCTATTACTTTATTATTTTATGAAATGTGAACCATACCTTTTCTTCTATACAACTGACGGTTTAGTTTTTATATGGTTTAGCTTTACATGTGTGACTTTATTGTTTTGAAATAAGTGTCTAAGTTTATTTTTTCAAGTTTGAGGAATGGTGTGCAATATTCAAATATAGTACAACTTATTCAACGAACCTTTCACAAATATTTCAAAGGAAGATTTTATGTCTAAGCAGTTGGCAAAGCTATTTTGTTTTAAAAAAAATAAAAGTTGTGCTGAATTGTGCTCAACAGTGTCAAAAAAAAATTTTCTGACAAAAATTTCAAAGAAGGTTTTTTTACAAAAACGACATTTTGTTAAAAATAAAAACAAAAGTTGTGCTGAACACATTCAAACACCACAGAATATTGTGCCACAAA